CCCTCTGCCACCGGACTGTCCGAGATCAGAAGAGCAGCGGCGCCGATGGGGCCCCAGCCTGCTCTGATGCCGCTGGATGGGCAATGCTGGGGCCAGGCACTGCTAGGGCCAGGCCTCCTCCAGCGCTGCGGGGGCCCAACCGAATCCTCGCCTGTCACCGTCGGCCAATACTCATGTAAGGGTCCCGGCTGGGCCCCTTGCATGAGTATCGGCCGTACCCCCCTGATGGCGGCCCTGTCAATACCTTTGTGGTTGCCCCAGGGTATGCCTCTGTGGGGGAGAGAGAGCCCACCTCCACTCCACAGACTGGGTAGGTACACCTACAACTGAATAGCAAGTATGAGGACAGTTTTCCTGCTCTTTGTATTCTGACACACACTGTCGCTTTCAACCTCTGGACCTATCCAGCTCCTGCCTAGGTGTGCCTTGTCAGGAATGTCATTCCAGCCTGCAAGACAGTGTTTCAACATGTGCGCCTTCGCATGTGCATGTGTCGGCATGGGGCTCACCGCATAGGGTCATCACTGGTATCATGTCTGTGTGAATGCAGTTGATGAATGCAGTTGCCTGCATGCTAGACAGCTTGTGTGCGGGTGTGCACGCATGCCCATTGCTGGTCATTACCCTCCAAAAAAAAGTCAGACAGAGGGCAAAGGACTAGTCACCAGTATTGCCTGTGGCTTCCTTGCTGATCATTTCCATTGCTGATTTACCATGGATTGTTTTGCATTGTGTCTCTGTTTCAATGTGTGCAGGTGGCCATCTTGGTAGAAGCAGGGTTTTTCTTTTTGTGTTCTTAGTGAATAACTCTGTAAATATTCCCTAAAACAAATCTTCACTTTCTGAGTTCAAGTACACTTTAAACCATACACTAACAGGGCAGGGCCGTAGATCATTTTTTTCCCTGGGGGGGGTTCAGCTTCCTCAAATTATAAGACTTTATCTAGCTGACACACCAAGGTTTGAAAAAAAAGCGACATCCGCAGCCACTTCAGCAGCACCCCCACACACACATTATATGGGGCACCGCACTCTTCTCGGTCAAGAGTGCGGTGGGACTAT